AATAATTATGCATCAACCTAATATATATACAGGTCCAATACTAGCGGCCATTTATTGGTTAGGTTATTTGTCATCCATCATAATTCTCGCTATACATACAGTAGTGCTCAAAAGCATTCGGCCAACTTTAACTTGCCGTAACTTCTTTCCCAGTGGAGTAGATCGCATGAAATTTTGATATGTTCAACTGAAGCATATTTCACACTATCCAACACTGTTTGACTGCAAAGCAGCAATGTCCACATAACTAAGGGGAAGGAGTTTGTAGATTATGCTGAAAGCAAGTTTGTGACGTCTGCATTATTCGCACCTTATTTGCGTTTTTCTCCTCTACTGAGTTCGGCATTAGCGTTCGTTCACTTTAGCCATGGCAAAGAGAAAAGAAATCCTAGAAGCACCAATCTCTCTATTTTGAGTTGATTTTGATTTCAAGCTCTTTGGCATATTTGGAACATGATCAGAGTGCGGGTTAATAGCGGTAAATATTCACACTGCACCAATGCTATACATAATGAAACTTTGCTCGATTAGATCCAGTGGGAAAGGAGTTATGACTGAAAGTACGAGTGAAGAAGCATTTGGCCGAATACTTTTGAGCGCTACTGTATATGCAGCCTCTTATGACCCTCAAGTTTCAAGCGTTGGAAAGATCTATTCTGAGTACTTCCTGGTCAACGCCAATTTTCACGCTCTCTTGAAATCATACCACGGTCGACCTTATCTTAATCTTGGCATGACCCTTGACTATTATGTATGTTCTCTTCAACCTTAACCTCACTCTTCACCTTGTAATATGCGCAACGAAAAAGTAGAGCAGATAAAACTCTGTTTGCCTGTTTCTATGCAAACAGAGTTTTATCTGCTCTACTTTTTCGTTGCGCATATTACAAATCACAAGTGCCGCATGCTGTAGTGTCAGTGTCGTAGACACTATATCCGTCTTCTAGCTGCATCTGTATAAAGAGTGGTACGGCAGTTCGTCGACAGACATCCCGGTCCAACCTAACACCTTCACAAAGGTAAGACTTCAAAGAATGACGGAATCGAATAGAAGACGGGGAAATACGCTTGTCTGTTAGCGATAAAGGAGGGGAACTCGTGTTCATCCCACATGTACTTGATAAGGCTATAACACATCTGCATCTTCAAGACACATCAATATATTGCAGATCTAGGAAAAAGAGTATGCAAAACAGTGAGGAAAACTGAAAAAGGGATGGTGTTGCGTGGCGAGGGTCGCTGGTCTGCAGAGCTCACGATCAGTCACCTGAAGAGTGACCTGCCGCTGTGTTCTGTCCTACCGCTGCAAACCTGAGCTCTAATTAGCCCACAGTGTTCAAGGTCAGACTCACTATCAGCAGTGTCGGGAGACCCACTGATAAAATTCCACGGTTTCTCAATCTTATAGTACGACAGATCCTACCGTTCATACCTGCCCACCTGACTAATACGAATGTGCTCCTCGAGAGACTGTTGAAAGTAGACCTCGAAGAGAATGTTGTGACCGAAACATTCGATGTTACGTCTTTGTATACAAATGTGCCGAATGAAGTCGCCTTGGAGGCAAAATTTGAACTGCTGGGTGATCATGAAGGCTCTCTCAACTTGTACGGTTTCTCTATCCTTACTATATATAAAGCGCTCTGTCTGTCTGTCTGTCTGTTTGTTTGTTTGTTTGTTTATACGGAAATTCGATATAACCTGAAGAAACACCTGGAGAAGTCGGGTCAAGTTTGGAATGGGTTGAGCATAGGGTAAGTGCAACAGAGCACATGTGAGCCTAGCGGAGCTCCGCCCCCAAGGGGCGGGGCATGCGCCGGAATTGGGCGGGGTCATGGGCGAATTATTCTAATTCGGTCTCATAATGTTCCAGACACCGGGAAAAAATGTGCATAGGTGAGGGATGGGTCAACAATCAAAATAAAGGAAACTTACCGGCGGTGGGCGGAGCGTTCTCGCAGTGGGCGGTACTTTCCACAGAGATTCATAACTCGATTTAACGAAGGCGTCGAGGCCAGGGAAAAAAATAAAAAGAGGGAGCAAGGCCTTATGCGTGCTGAGCATGTAAAAGTATAGCGAAGCCCCGCCCACGAGGGGCGGGGCGTGCGTTTAGGTGAAAGCTACTTTTCAAAAATTAGTGTAACTTCGTTCGGAAAAGTTATAGAATGCGGCAAAAAGGTATCAAGGTGTAAAAGAACAAATGTGGTCAAATCCCAAAAGTGGGCGGGGTTGGCACCAAAGTGGGCGGGGCTTAGATCAAAAATTTATAACTCTATACAGAAAAGTTCCGGGATGCGGCAAAAAGGTAGTAAGGTGTAAAAGAACAAATGTGGTCAAATCCCAGAAGTGGGCGGGGCTGGCGGTAAAGTGGGCGGGGCTTAGATCGAAAATTCATAACTATATTCAGAAACGTTCTGGGATGCGGCAAAAAGGTATTAAGGTGTAAAAGAACATAAGAATATAAAGGGAATGAACAGTGCCTTATACATGCTGACCATGATAACGTTAGCGAAGCTCCGCCCATAATGGGCAGGGCGTGTAAATGGAAGGTACTTCTAGGACTAGAATTAGACAAAAGATGGTCAGAGGTTATAAAATGCTAATAACATCGTTAATCCGGAAAAAGTGGTTGAAGGCTATCGAAGGAACGTGTTCATGCGTCGTAATCCCACCGTACTACACCTGTACATCTGAACCTGGACCCAGCCGACGCTGACCTGCACATCTAATCCGAATACTGTATCAATACCGTACCCTGACTTGCACATCTGAACATCTGACACAAAGCCTGATACTGTGGTCCTACCGTACTCTGACCAGCACATCTAATCCGAATACTGTATCAATACCGTACCCTGACTTGCACATCTGAACATCTGACACAAAGCCTGATTCTGTGGTCCTACCGTACTCTGACCTGCACATCTAATCCGAATACGAAGCACCCTAATACTGTATCAATACCGTACCCTGACTTGCACATCTGAACATCTGGAACAAAACCTTCTGATACCGCGATACTCTGACCTGCACATCTAATCCGAGTACTGTATCAATACCGTGCCCTGACTTGCACATCTGAACATCTGGCACAAAGCCTGATACTGTGGTTCTACCGTACTCTGACCTGCTCATCTAATCCGAATACTGTATCAATACCGTACCCTGACCTGCACTTCTGAACATCTGACATAAAACCTTCTAATACCGCGATCCTACCGTACTCTGAGATGCACGTCCTAGCAGGCTAAGGAAGTTTCTGATACCGTGATCGCACTGTCATCTGACCTACACATCTACCCAGATAGAGTGTCTCTGATACATAGTAATGTCGCA